TTGTTTTTTTGTGACAGGGTTTCTCTGTGAAACTTTGCTGTCCCAGAACTCACTTTGTAGAGCAGGTTAGCCTTGAACTCAGAGATTCACCTGCCTCTGCCTCCTTCTGGGATTAAAGGCATGCATCAGTACTGCCTTGAACAGACAAGGGACACCTTGAAACAACAACAACAAAAAGAATTCAAGTTTTGTTCTCCCAGGCTTGAGCTCTGTTTACTTCCTGAGGCTGGTGAGCGTCCTCCTCCCTCCTGGAGAGAAAGTTCTCCAACAGTGATGTAGAACTGACTTTATCCTGTCAGGCCCTCAGGAAGCAAGAGAAAGCCTTTCTGTTTTCCCTTTACAATGGACAGCAGAGAGCTGATAGGACAAGCAAAAGAGACTGGCCATTGAGAAGGCCTCTGGCCAGAATCGAGTTGCCCGGCACTCATGCATGCACGATGCGATGCGCACGCGTTGGAAGATGAGGGGCTGACCGTGCCATCTGGAGAAGGATGTGGCTTGACAGCCCAACTCTAGGGCCCGGTAGGCCGGGATACAGACTGGGTAGTGCCACAGGCATAAGCCACTGTGAATGCCACCAGGCACCTGACCAAGCCCTGCCAAGGGTTCCACCCGCATCAACTACCCCTCGGACTGTTAGGCACCCGTCTGTTACCCCACTCCCTGTATGTCTACGCTGCTCATTAAAAAGGTGGCCAGGCTGGTATTTGTTTCTCGGAGGTGGGAAGAGCCTCAGAAGGACCCAAAGCCCGGTTTTCCATCGCATTGTGTTTCAGCGCTGCATCTTTTTCTGTCTACTGACTTTCAAGAATCCCTGCCAGACTCTGCCAGAGCAAATGAGCAAATAACAGGATTGCTTTGTAGCCGCTTGGGAGCTTTGGAACTTTATCTTCATTTGCACAGGAAAACAAAACAAATCAAAACAAAATCCCGACTCCTCGTTTCTTTCGTGCAGTGTGTGCCTGCAGGAGCAGAGAGGGAAAGGCGGGAAGGATGGCCCCATTACCAGCAGAAAAGCCTCTTGCTGCACTGAGCGGGTGCGCGGCGTGGACCGCTTAGGTGGCGCTGTGGATGGGGAGGGGTAGTAGCACTGTTTCAGTGTTGTGTGAGGAAATGGTATGAACAGAGAAATTAAAAATAATCCCCAGTGGTAGGGATTGGATCCCTACGATTGTATAAACCGAGTGTGGTAGCTTCTACTTCATTCCAGCTCTGAGGAGATAGAGAAGGGAGGGTCAGAAGTTCAAGGTCATCCTCAGCTACATAGTGAGGTCAAGGACAGCCGGCACTACTTGAGACCCTGTCTTTTAAAAGGATATTTACTTGTTTATTTACTTTATGTTATGTGCATATAGTGTATGTTTGTACACCTCCGTGTGTGTGTGTGAGTGTGTGTGTGGGGTGTGTGTGTGTGTGTGTGAGTGTGTGTGTGTGGTGTGTGTGAATGTATGTGTGTGTGTGTGTGAGTGTGTGTTGTGAGTGTGTGGGTGTGTGAGTGTATGTGTGTGAGTGTGTGAGTGTGTGTGAGTGTATGAGAATGTGTATGTGTGAGTGTGTGAGTGTGTGTGAGTGTGTGAGTGTATGAGAGTGTGTATGTGTGAGTGTGTGAGTGTGTGTGAGTATATGAGAGTGTATATGTGTGAGTGTGTGAGTGTGTGGGTGTGTGAGTGTGTGTTGGGTGTGTGTGTGTGTGTGGAGTGTGGGAGTGAGTGTGTGAGTGTGTTTTGAGCCTTGGAGTGAGTGTGTGAGGGTGTTTGGAGTGTGTGAGGGAGTGTGTGGGTGTGTGAGTGTGTTTTGAGTGTGTGAGTGAGTGTGTGAGTGTGTGTTGTGTGTGTGTGTATGTGTGTGTGTGTGTGAGTGTATGAGAGTGTGTATGTGTGAGTGTGTGAGTGTGTTTTGAGTGTGTGAGTGAGTGTGTGAGTGAGTGTGTGGTGTGTGTGTGTGTGTGTTGTGAGTGTGTGTGTGTGTGTGTGTGAGTGTGTGTGTTTTGAGTGTGTGAGTGTGTGGGTGTGTGAGTGTGTTTTGAGTGTGTGAGTGAGTGTGTGTGTGTGTGTGTGTTGTGAGTGTGTGTGTGTGAGTGTGTGTGCTATAGTATATGTATGGAAGTCAGAGGACAGCTTCAGCTGTCTGTCCTTGCCTTCCACCTTGTTTGAGGCAGCGTGTCCTACTGTTCACCTATGCATAAGCCAGGCTAACTGGCCACACACAAATGCAGGGTCTCTCTGGTCTTCCCCTCCCATCCCACCATCGGAATGCAGCCTGTGCGGTCCTGAGGGTTGTGAAATCCCCTTGCTTCTATTGCAGACCCTCTTCCTGTTAAGCCATCTCCCCAGCCCAATCTTCAGGCTACCTTCTCGTGGCTTTGCTCCCTGCCTGCTCCACAGACCTTCTTGATGTGACCAAGTTAGGAACCCACCAAGTGCCAGCCACCAGCTAGCAACCCAACAGCTAGTCTCCTTCCTACCCGAGCTAATGCGGTGGGTGTTCCCAGTCTTCCCACACAGACCGTGAGCTCATCCCAGAGACAGCTAGCCTGTGAGGATGCAGCTAGCATCAGCATTCACGGTACAAACTCAGCATGGCGTGTCACTTCTGTAGCGGTTGCTGGACTGGCTCAAAGAGATACGGGAAAGGACAGCTAATGAAGAGAGAGAGAGGTCTCAAGCCACCCCCACCCCCAGCGCCACACAGACTTGTATTGGCAAGAAGGTTATTTTTGGGTCAAGTACATATAGTCTGTTTAGGAAGTCATCTGTTCTGGAAGTTAGAAAAAAAAGGCTGTGAGGTCAACCTTTTTAGCATGCACTTTTATCTCTCTGGCTCCCAGTCCTCACCTCCCCCCACTTTATTCTTTTGAGGCAGAGCCTCACTCTGCAGCCCAGGCTGGCCTCACACTTGCAGCAATCCTCTTGCCTCATCTTCCCAGGTGCTAGGATTGCAGACATGAAGCACAATGCCTGGCTCTTTCCTTGTGTTTGTTTTGAGACAGAGTATCACTCGATAGCTCAGACTGTCCTTGAATCCAGGGTGTAGTCCCCAGTGGCTTTGAACTCCTGACTCTCCCACCTTCACTTCCTGAGTGCTAGGATTATAGGATGAGCCACTGTACCCCTAATAGTTTAAAAATATTTAGGTAGGTGTGTGTGTGTGTGTGTGTGTGTGTGTGTGTGTGTGTGTGAGAGAGAGAGAGAGAGAGAGAGAGAGAGAGAGAGAGTCTTGTGTGAGTTTATGTATGCTGAGCGCATGTAGTTGCTCGTGGAGGCCAGAGAATGTTGGGGGTCCCTGGACTAGAGTTAAACGTGTTTGTGAGCCACATGATGAGGATTCTGGGAACTGAACCTGGGCCCTTCTTAACTGCTGAGCCATCTCTCCAGTCCCAAACCCCTAACCTCTTGATTTTTATGTGAAGTATGAACTTGTTCTTTGAAGGAATCTTGGGAAGAATGTAGTTGACTTCATGCATATTCATAAGCTCTCTAAGCAAAAATAAGATAGGATCCTTAAGAAATGCAGAGTCTATACCTTAAAATGATGTGGAAAAAACAAGAAGAAATGATAGAGAACCAGTGAGAGGTACTTAAAGATGTATGCGTCAGGCAATGGTGGCGCACGCCTTTAATCCCAGCACTCGGGAGGCGGAGGCAGGTGGAGCGCTGTGAGTTCAAGGCTAGCCTGGTCTATAGAGTGAGTTCCAGGGCAGGGTCTAAAACTACACAGAAACACTGTCTCAAAAAAAAAAAAAAAAAAAAAAAAAAAAACCAAGCAAACCAAACAAAAAAGTATGTGTCTTAGTTACTTTTCTGTTGCTGCAACTTCTAGAAGCGTTTTTAGGTGCTCATAGTTCCAGAAGGTTCAAGTCCACGACTACCATGGTTGGGAGCAGGCGGCAGGTAGGTGAGCAAGGCATTGGAGCAGTAGCTGAGAGCTACATTCTGACCCACAGGTTCTTGTTTTGTTTTAGAGACAGGGTTTCTCTGTGTAGCTCTGGCTATCCTGGAACTTGCTCTGTAGACCAGGCTGGCCTCGAACTCAGATCTGCCTGCCTGCTTAAAGGCTTGCACCACCATCACCCAGCAGCCCCTAGCTCTGCCCCTACAGGCCTAGTCTCCCACAAAGGCATTATCCAATCCATATTTTGACAGAGACCCGGTTGTGAAGCCCCCCCCCCATGGTGTCAGTCAGAAACTGGGGAGCTAGGAGGCAAGGAGGGGGTACAAAACCTGACAGTGGGTTTAAAGAAGGTGGGACCATGGGCTTTTTAACCCTCAAGGCCCATCTCCAGTGACACACCTCCTCCAATACTTCCACTGGATACTTCCCACACTTCCACCAACTGGAAAACAAGTATTGAAACACAGGAGCCTGGGGCCATTGTCATTTAAACCACTGCAGTGTGCATGGACAGCAAAGAAGCCGGAGTTCCATTCGTTTGCCAGCTATATCACGGGCTACTTTAGAATAACTTTTATTGTTTCAGTAGCAAAGATGGTGAACTCTAGAGGCAGTGCAAGCCTAGCCACATGAGTTTGATCTCTGAAGCCCATGTGACGGTGCAAGGAGAGGACCAACTCCACAAAGTTGTCCTCTGACCTCCACGTAAGCACTGTGGCATGCATACCCACCTCACACAAACCCACACACACACACACACACACACACACACACACACACACACACACACGATAATAAAATAAAAAAGAAATAGAGACATTCTCCCCTGAAAGAGTCACCGTCTTTTCCTGCTTCAGTGATTGGGTGGAGCCTGGAGCTTGCCCCAGTCAGCACCCCCTCTGTTCTATATCTTTGCACCCCCACAACTTGCCCAATGCAGCCACAAGCACAACATCTGCCTCAAAGGTGTGTCAAACTCTTCCTGGGACCCCGATGGTGCTGTCAATTGCCAGGTCACCCTGGATCTCCATGCCTCCATGCCTTGCTACTTTAACCATGATGACATGGCTTTGAGGAACCTGGCTAGATCCTTTCTTCACCAACTCAAGACAAGAGGGAAGATGCTGAGAAGCTGAGGGAGCTGCAGGAGAATGGAGTGGCCCAATATGCCTGGGAGATACCAAGAAACCAGGGCGTCAGGACTGGAGACGGCTCCCTGGGAAAGAGTATTCACCGGCTGCTCTTCCACGGGACCCAGGTGTGCTTCCCCGAACCTACGTGACAGCTCTCCATCATCTCTAACTCCGGTCCGGGGGATCTGACGCACTGTCTGGCCTCTACAAGTACTCGCTCACATGTGGCCCATGGCATTCATGCAGGACAAAACACTCACACACATAAAATAATTTAAAAAAGCAATCTGGCACTTAGTTAACTAATATACAGTTTGGACCAGGCAAGAAGTGAGCATAAGATAAGGCCAAGCATCCATAGCTAATAAGAAGTCTTCATGTCATGATTTGGAAGCTGGTGGGTGGCTCAAAAGAAAAAGCCTGCTACAGACCTTCTATAGTAGTTTTACAAAACACCCTTTTCGTGTATCGGTAACAGCAGATTTATAAAATTGGAATAGCTGAGTGAGTAGCCTGGACTCATAAACGTGGTAGCTTTAGTAAATAGTATAGTGACATCTTTAGCACTGTACCCAGCAGGCTGCAAAGATCTTGTTCAAGATTCTATAGTCGTTTAAATCCACGGTTGGGGTGGGATGGATCATCATCTCTGAGTGGGGGGGAGCTTAGTGCAGCAGGTGCTCCTGCCTAGGGGTGGTCTCCATTCCCTTAGGAGACGTTGTGTACAGGATCTGCTGTTCCTGCAATCCAAGACGACTGTAGGAGGACAGACACAGTGTAGAGGAGACGATGCCAAATGGAGGCAGGTGGCCAAGCCTTTATACTGTATTTACTTACCCATCCCTGTCTACAGACATTTGCAGCTCAGTCAGGTGAATTCTTCACTTTAGCACGCGCAGCCCCGAAGTCTTTGTCACAGTGTGTGGGAACAGCAGTTGCAAACAGTGGAATGTACGAATCTCCCAATGTGTTGGGGCCTATTGATTGTGATAATTAATACTGGTTAATACTCATTGTCTATTTTGACAGGGTGGAGAGTCACCTAGGAGACAAACCTCCAGGCATGTCTGTGAGGGGGTTTGTACCTTAGGTCACTTAAGGTGGGAAGACCTGTTGTTTATTTTTTGCTCTTTGCTCTTTGCCCCCACCCCCCCAGCTCCAAATAAACACACACAGAGTCTTATTATTACTTATGAATGCCTGGCCTTAGCTTGGCTTATTTCTAGATCCTGTCTACCTTTGCCTCTGGGCTTTTCTCTATTCTGTATACCTTTACCTTTCTTCTTACTCTGGAAGGGCTGGGGGGCTGGGCCCTGATGTTCTCTTTCTTTTCTCTTGCTTCCTCTTTTTTTCTCCTTCTAGTTATTCTCTCTGCCTGACAGCACCACCTATCCTTTCCTGCCTAACTACTGGACGTTCAGCTCTTTTTTTTTTTTTTTTTGGTTTTTCGAGACAGGGTTTCTCTGTGTAGCTTTGGAGCCTGTCCTGGCACTCGCTCTGGAGACCAGGCTGGCCTCGAACTCACAGAGATCTGCCTGCCTCTGCCTCCCGAGTGCTGGGATTAAAGACATGCGCCACCAACGCCCGGCTGGACGTTCAACTCTTTATTAGGCCAATCAGGTGTGTTAGACAGACAGAGTAACACAGATTCACAGAGTTAAACAAATGCAACATAAAAGAATGCAACGCATCTTTGCATCATTAGACAAATATTCCACAGCATAAACAAATGTAACCCATCTTCAACTAATATTCCTAAATTCAAGTGATCTTCCATAAGCCGTGGTCCCTGCCTAAATAAAAAGAGACATCAAGGTGAGCACCAGCTTGTCCCCCCCTCCTGACTGTGGATGTCATGTGGCAGTGTGATCGGCTACCACCTGGCGTTTCTGCTGCCTTGCCCTCTGTCATAATGTATGGTGACCTTAAATTGTGAGCCAAAAGAAGCCTTTCCTCCCAGAAGTTGCTTTTCTTGAGGGTTTTTCATCACAGCCAGAGGTAAGTAACTGACCTAGACCATTAAAAGAGCTTGAATATTTTCTTTTGCCCTAAATGACCGAGAAACCACTGGAACCCTACCATTGTGTACACCACAGGAGGGAAGACAGGTGGCAGATTGTGTTAGTTTGATCGTGCAGCTGTGACAAAATACCATAGGCTGGGGCATTTAAAAGAAGTAGAAATTTGTTTCTTATGGTTCTGGAAGTTCCAGTCCTGTTTAGGGCTGAGCACTGAGAAGTCTCTTGTTCCCAGCACCTGGACTCCATAAGTCTCCGAATCACATCGGCTGTTTCCATGGCAAAATGAAGCCCCTCTAGGCCACTGTCTTTTCATGAAGATAAGCAGATAAGTTGGAACACAAGTTTTGGACATAGATGTTCAAATTATAGCACAGAGACTAATTTAGGCAAGGGTATTGGTAAAAAAAAAATAAGTCTGAGAAAGTAGATTTTCAAGATAGATTATAACCTATCTACAGTATCGATAGTCGGTGTGTATGTGCGTGCTTCTGTGGTTACGGGTGTTACACGTGTGTACATGCATGTGAAGGCCAGAGGACACCCTTGGGTGTTCCTTAAGTACTGTTCACCTTGTTTTTGAGACGGTCACATACGGCATCTCACCAAGTACCCTGCCAGCTCCAGGGATTGATTATTTATTTATTATATGCATTTGTGTTTTGCCATGGAATTGGAGTTAGACAGTTTTTAGCTGCCATGCGGTTGCTGGGAATTGAACCTGGGTCCCCTGGAAGAGCATTTAGTGCTCCTAACCATTGAGCCATCTCTCCAGCCCACTCCTGGGATTTCTTACCAGTTTTCACATCACTGGGATTACAGGCACAGGCTACTAAGACTTTTTTTCCTCTTAAACATCTGATCTAGGGATTAAACTCATGTTTTCATGCTTGTTCAGCAAGAGCCTGACTGCCTGAGCCATCTCCCTAGCCCTTGAGGACATGTTTTTGTTGTTGTTGTTTGTCTTTTGAGACAGAGTTTCTCTATGCAGCTCTAGCTGTTGTGGAACTCTCTCTATAGACCAGGCTGGCTTCAAACTCACAGAAATCTGTCAGCCTCTGCCTCCCACCTGCTGGGATTAAAGGCGTGAGCTACCAAGCCTACTTGTTTTTTAAGGTAGATTTCAGAATGTTTGTTAATAGATGGAAAATGAGGTCAAAGGAAAAAGAGGGACCTCAAGGACATTTATTCAGAGCAACCAGGGGACAGTTAGGAATGTTTGCTAGGACTGGGAAGATGGGAAAACGAGAACTGTTGGGCCCTGCAAAGTCAGGAACTCTATCAGACATTGGGGGGGGGGGGCACAGATGGCACATTGGCTGTTGATTTTTGTTTTATCTATTTATTTATTTTTGAGATGGGCTCTCACAGAGCCCAGACTGGCTCCAGATTTACTACATAGCAACAGGAATGACCTTGAACTTCTCACCCTTCAGCCTAGTGTGCATGCTCACCATGAAAGGTTTATGCGGCACTGTGGCTCAGAGCCAGGTTTCCTGCATGTTGGGCAAGCGCTCCACCAGCTGGGCCACAATCTCAGACCAAATGTTTCTTCGCCATCAGGTTGATGGGCTGCATCTGGGAATATCTAAGTTTTAGTCAACCACATTAAAGGGCTGGGGAGATGCTTCTGCCATTAAAGGCTCGGCTCACAATCAACCACATTAAAAACATCTAGCAAATTGTCATCAGGTTTACTAAATTAGAAGCTACACATGTTAAGCAACATCAGTAATGGACCTACAGAGATTACACATATAAATGTGTTTATGTGTTTGAGATGGGTGTGTGTGTGTGTCTGTCTGTCTGTCTGTCTCTGTATTGGTCAGTCTTGCTTTGAATCCTGGACTCAAGGGATCCCCCTGACTCAGTCGGTATTCAAAGTTTCTAGTATGCCACTTAAGCCACTCCACACCAGTTTAAAGATAGTCATTTATCTTTTGTTCTGAGACAGGGTTTCTCTGTGTAGCCCTGGCTGTCCTGGAACTCGCTCTGTAGCTCAGCCTGGCCTCAAACTCACAAATCTGCCTGCCTCTGCCTCTCCAGTGCTGGGATTAAAGGCGTGCGCCACCACTGCAGGCTGATAGTCATTTTTAATAGAAAAAAAGCAGCTTATAGAACGAACGGATGCATGCTTCACTATGTATTTGATTGGAAGCATGCAAGCAAACATTAGAATACCAGCTGTGGCCATTTCCGGTGTTGGGACTTACTATGGTTTTATGCATTGGTCATTTAAGATGGCCTCAACAGTCAAGTACCGTCTTAGGTAACTGGTGTTTGATAATTTTAGAGACAAGGTCTCCTGTATCGCAGGCTGACCTGGAACTCTCTGTGTAGCTGAAGAGGACCTTGGATTTCTGGTCCGCCAGCCTCCGTCTCCCCTGTGCGGAGATCACAGGTGTGCACCCTCTCGCTGGTTTATGTGGTGCTGGGGGTGGAGCCCAGGGCTTCATGAGCTCTGGGCAAGCAGTCTACCAACTAAGTCACATCCCCACTCCCCAACTATTTGGGTTTTGTTGTTGTTGTAGTTTGTCTTGCTCTGGACAGTGCGTGGCTGGGCCACCTGTCGGTTGCGACGGCGTCAAGATGATGCTGCGGCGATGGGAGAGGACCAGGTGTGGAGCCCCGAGGCAGCCAGGCCCCGCCTC